AAAAAAAAAAAAAAAAAAAAAAAAAAAATCACAGCTACAGAGGACAGAGTATTTAAGCATTTCCAAATGAAGTGGCCCCAGAAGCTGTTCTCAGAGCTTCTTCCTCAAAGTCCATGTCACTGTCCCCCACCTCATCCCCCCACTGCCAGACACCACAGAAGAGGCCTCTCCATGGGATCACAGGCAATTCAGAAAACTCAGGAGCTTTCTCAGTGGGAAGACAAAAATCCATCAATTAACACTTCCCTCTCCAAGGCACTCAAGGTGACTGTCACCTGGACCAGAGAGATGAAAGAAAGCTGTGGTTTCCCTTAGTTCCACAGAGCTGCCAACTTCAACCCAACTGAAGGTCAAGCAAGGACGCAGGCCTTCAACTACAGCTGGTTACCTTACGGGTACCAAATTTATTTGCCAGGGATGCCCAGCCTGTCTGAACCTCACTAGCCTCACTAGCTGCAGGGTACAGCACGAAAAGTCTACTTTACAGCCGACACCATTTGCAAACCCTGATGGAGTACTCCTCAGTGTCACTGTCATAAAGTTCTGCGATTTTACCATAACCACAGAAGCTCCTACACTGACCGCCACAGTGAGAATGAGACCGCTTGGCTCTGCGGCTTTTCTAAGGGCATCTTGGGAACAGTGCAGCCTTCCTAGGCTTGACCCGCATTCCTGCAGAGGGGTCAGGTCTGCTAGCTTTGCAAATTTGTCCCAACGCCACGATACATCGGGGGACAATTCGAGCACAACACAGACTTTGCATTTGCTCACGTACAATCCCATTCATGAGAAACAGGGAGAAGGTGGCGCTGAGCCCCATGGGAGTGATAACACACCTCCGCCCACATGCTGAGTCACACCCATCCACACCCGCGGTGAGAACGCTCTGCCCACTTCATACAATTCTCCTTCTGTCACTACACAGCAGCCCACAAGCTGCAGTCCTCCCAGTGCCCACGGCCACGGTCAGCACAGGCCTTGAGGGCCACGCTCACAGTGGCGTTCTTCTGTAGGCGGCAACAGCGCATAGAGGTGTAGGAGCCAGAGGGAGCTCCAGAACTTGTCATGCCCTTGTGTCAGGCCCTACACCCCTTTGTCCCACAAGCCTGTCATCTCGGCTGTGTGGTTGTACAACACGGCGACTTACAGAAGCCCATGTAATTGTATTACAGCAGGACTGGTTATAAACTAAAGGACGCTATGAAATAAAGAACACCTTGGGAAAGCAAAGTCTCAGGGGTTGACGCCCCACACCCCAAGACTACTTCAACAACCGGGAAATCCAGTTTCTCTCTTCATCAGCCTAGGGTTTCCCAGGCCTGTGATCACACATGCAATTACATAAACAGAGTCTGCATCACTGTTTACCCCAAATCCTGCTCAGTGGTCCCCCTCCCCGCTCAGAAAACGGGGTGGCGGCCTGGAAGCCGCCAGGGTAAGCTCAGGCCGGAAGCTTCGCCACAGCCTTCCCACAGGTGCACCTGCCTGGGTCCCATCATCCTTGGCTCGCTTGATGTTCTGACGCCCATCCACCCAGTAGATGAACTTGTCCAGTGGGTCGTAGTCGATGGCCTTGACGTTCCTCAGCCCATGCAGGGGAAGGATGAGGTCTGGGCTGTGCTGGTCATCAGGGATCATGCGGCTGATTGCACATTTCTGGCTGAACAGCAAGAAGGTAGAGGGTGCTGGAGGGAGACAGACAGACAGAGGGCTGTGTGGAAGCTGGGAGGCAGGAGCCAGATGGACAGCACTCCACTTCCTTCTAGGAACAAACCAGCACATGCACCACTATAGGGAAGACCAGATGGATGCAGAGCTGTTTCCCAGGGTAGATGATGGGAATTTTACTCTCTGTGCTACATATTGCTCCAAAGAGTGTTAATTTTGAAATAATATACAAGCTGGAGTGTGGCTCGGTGGTAGAGTGCTTGCCTAGCATGCATGAGGCCCTGGATTCCATCCCCAGAACCAGAGAGACAGAAGAGAGAACAGTGACAGCGGGGGGACACTCCTCAAGAGAGCTGGGGACTGGGAGGGGCCGGAAGGAACTGGAATGTCCACATGGCATCTCTCGGTTCACTGACGTGACGGCCAGAAGCACCTGCTTTCAGAGAGACCATGACATACATGGCACCCCTTCATGGCAGAGAGTAGAGTTCAGAGACTCAGAAGCCCAGTTTAGACCTGTGGTGCTCAGAAGCATGGAGGCCACTGGATACAGACACTGTCGGGGGTGCGGGGGCATGTCTGAAATCCACATTACTGTCCCAGGTCTGCAAACACAGGAGTGGGGACCCCAAGTGAGGTATCTCCTCCTGCACCTCCACCTGCATGGCCTGAAGAACACCAGGCCCCAGAGAGCCAGGCTCTGGCTACAGGTGCATTGTACCCTAACTCAAGCCTCAAGTAAGCCACCTGCCCTTTCAAACCTCTGGTCCCCATGGGGACAGGCAAGACCAGTCCTGCCATGCCCAGAACTGCAGAAGCTCAGATGGGGCCTTGATGACAGGGAGCTGTGTCAACCACCAAGTGCAGAGGCTTTGAACTGAACCTGACTCCCAGCTGACGTCAGAGAAGGACCTGCCTCAGGGCCACCTGTATTGCTCAGTCTCCCTACCCTGCTTGCCTTGTCACAGAGCCCCACTTAATGGCTACAGGAGCTGACACAAGGCCAGCAGCAAAGGGTCAAGAGCAGGGACTCTGGAGCCACCCTGGCTCCCACCTTTCCAGCTGTGTGGCCTTGGGCAGGTTACTACATAACTCTGTGCCTCAGGTTCCTTGTCTGTGAAATGAGGGCTAGGAGACTTAAGAGCTCTGTGAAAAGCACTTTGGACAGGGCTGGCAATGAGAGCAATGCTCTCCTCCAGTGACAGGTTTCACATTCAAAGATTCTCCCACAGAATCTGCTGGCTGAGGACTAAGTCCGTTTAGTTGTGTCTTGATGAAGCACAGGTCCTTCATCCAGCCTGGACCTCCAGATAGAATCATCGAGTTTGTGCAGTGCACAACTTGCCAACCATCCATATAACAGATGCACCCCTACATAAAAAGCTCTTTTCAACCTCAAACCTCCACCCCTACCTCCTGCCCCACCGCCCATGCTGGCTAGATCTAAAGTGGGACTGAGGTGCGAGAGGAGGGGAAACTGAGGCACTTACGGCTGCAGTTGCGACTACTGGGGTCCAGAGTGTAGTGTGAAGCACAGCCGCAGCGGTGGCCTCCTGGGATGGCAAGGCACAGCTGCCCGCACTGGCCATTGCTGTGCATGCAGTCATTGAGGCCATCCTGGCGGGAGGAGTGGAACACCAGGATGTCCATCACGAAGTCCAGGTGGCCCTGGATGAGAGTGCGGTTCCGGCCGTTGGTCTTGTCAGCCCGCTCGATGCTGTGCAGAGTCCAGTCGGTCCAATAGATGTAATCGCTGTACTGTGTCAGGCCGAAGGGGTGCGGGAGGTCATCAGCGATCACGATCCGGTCTTGACCTGCACAGGGACACAGCACACACAGTCAGCAACGGCGCAGTCAGGACACTGAGCTCACGCGGAGACCACAGCTGACGGTGAAGCTTTGACAGCACTGGAAAACAGGTAAGTGCACCAAAGCCCAGTGTGCACCTGTCCAGCAACCCCACTCCAGGGTGGATGTGCACGGAGCATCCTCCCAACAACACAGCCAAGACTGCACACAGCAACCCTAACCATGAGCTGAAAAAGACCAAACGTCTAGTCCAAATGGTGAGTGGTGGAGTCTGCCCACAGTGGAAATGCCAGAGCAAGACCCCACCTCCAAAATCACCAGAGCAAAATGGATTGGAGGTGTGGCTCAAGCAGTAGAGAACCTGCTGTGCAAGTGGGAGGCCCTGAGTTCAAATCCCAGTGCACAAAAAAAAAAAAAGAAGAATCACACACAGGACAAATCTCAGTCACTGGGTTGAGGGAAAGAGGTCAGTGTAAAAGCAGGATCTATAGGAAGTTCTAGAACAGTAACTCGCATCTGGTACACAGAGATGGAAGTCAGGGCAGTGACTGCCCCTGGGCAGGTTTGAGGGATAGCTGGGAGGAGCATGAGGGAGACTTTGGGGCCTACCTTGCCCTGGGTGAGAGCTACATGGATTGTTTGTACACACGTATCTGCATGTAAAAATTCTTCAACTTCCTCACCTGAGATTTTTGTGCTTTGCCACGTATATGTTACACTTCAGAAAAATTTCAAATTTTACCTTTCTGAAAACACCCAATAAGCTCTGGAGGTCACTGGGCCCCTGCTCCCCAACTACTCAGCAGAAAGCTGAGCCAGCTCCTTGGCCCTAGATCCCCAGCTAAAAATGATTCTTGGTTTGTGGTGCTGGGGATGGAACCCAGGGCTCTGCACATTCTAGACAGACAAGCGTGTGATCACTGAGCTGTACCAGAGCACCAAAATTAGTACTCTTAAGAGTGCCTTGTTGGCATCTATAATACTTAAATGTAGTTTAAGTACAGCCAGGTACAAGAGATGTGAATTATTTACTGAATGAATTATTAAAGAGCACTTACTACGAGGGCATTTTAATAGGTTTCCATGTTTGAATAATAGCATCTATCATTTCTTTCTGTCTCTTGCCTTATCGCTCGAAGAATTCAAGCACCATACTGAGTAAGTGTGGAGGCACGCTCAAGTGGCACAGCGCCTGCCTGCCTAGCAAGAACAAGGCCCCAAGTCCAAACCCAGCACCGCGCACACGCACACACACACATAGACACACAACATACCCACATATACACACACACACACACACAAACATACCCATATACAAACACATACATACACACACACACACACACACACACACGACAAAGTGGAGAGTGGGCACCCTGGCTTGTTTCTGATTTGAGGAAATGCCCTCAGTTTCCCCCATCTAGTGTAACGTAGGCTGTAGGTTCATCACATTACGTTAAGTTCCTGTTTCAAGTTTCGTCTGGGTTTTTATCCTGCAGGGGTTTTGAATCCTGTCAAAGACTTTCTGTATGCGCTGAAGTGATCGTGTGATTTTTGTCCTTTTTTCTGCTTAGATACCATATATTATGCTTACTGATTTGCACGCACTGGGCCATCCTGACAAGCCTGGTATGAAAGTGGCTTGGTCACTGTGTGTCTTTTCAGTGTGCTTTGCAGGAATTTCACTGAGGATTTTTGCATCTGTGTCCATCAAATTGCTGTTGTGTCCTTGTCTGGTTTTGGTATCAGAGTAATACTGGCTTCACAGAATAAGTTTCGTAGCAATCCTTTCCCTTCTGTTTTACGGAACAGTTCAAGGAGCATTGGCTTTCTGGGGGAGTGGAGGCAGTTTGGGGTTTGAACTCAGGGCCTCGAATTTGCTAGGCAGGGGCTCTATCACTTGAGCCACACTTTAGTTGTTTTCAAATAGGTTTCTCATGTTTTTTGCCTGGCTAGCCTGGATAACGACCCTCTTATTTATGCTCCCACTTAGCTGGGATGACAGGCACGCACCACCACACCCAGCTTAGTGGTTGAGATGAGGTCTAACAGTATTTCCTGGGCTGGCCTCAAACCCAATCTTCCCACTCTCCACCTCCCACACAGCTGAGATTACAGGCTTGAGCCACTGTGCCCAGTTCCATTCGTTCTTTAAAGGTTCTGGTAGAATTCAGCAGTGAATTTGTCCTGTCCTGGGCTTTTCTTTGTAGGAAGAGTCTTTACTGCTCATTCTGGATCTGTTTAGAGATCGTTGTTTATATTCTCTTGGTTCAGCTTGGTAGGTCACACATATCTAAAAACTTATCTATTTCATGTAGAGTTTCCCCTTTATTGGAATGTAAGTTTTCAAAATTTTCCACAGTGATCCTCTAATGTCATTGGTAGCTGTTGCAGTACTGCCTTCTTCATGACTAATTTTGTCATTTTGGGTCTTCTCTCTTTGGTTGAGTTTGGCAGAGGGTTTGTCAATCTTGTTTATCCTTTTTTTGTTCTTTCAGCCTCCATTTTGTTAATCCCTCTGGCCTTTATCTCTTTCCATCTACTGACCTTGGGTTTGGCTTGCTCTTGTTTTTCCTAAGAGCTTTCACTGGGTTGTGACTTACGTTTTTGTAAGAATACGTCAGCCATATGACTCCGTGGCTGCACTGAAAGTACAGATACCTGAGGTCCTGCAGGTAAAGCCAGGCCCCTCCAACACCAGCCAGGTGCAGAGAGGACAGTTGTCCCGCCAACTGGATGACCGGAGTGTGCCAGGCACAAGGCCACGTGCTGGGGAGAGCCAAGCGGAACAGCGCGACATTCCAGGGGAGGAAGCACGGAAGGAACGCTGAGGGCCTAGGTGTCCCTTGTCCCAGCCACACCATGGGCAAAATGTGTTGTAAGAACCTGTCCCCTCCTCTGTCTTACCTTACAGTATAGATGGTGCCAAGGCACCATGTGCTCGTGAAACGAGAACATGCTTGCCCGTGCTCATGGCACATGGGAGAAAGAAAAAAACAATGAAAATTCTGTATAGTTTAAAGTTGCAAACATTTCTGAAAAGCAAAAAAGTGAAAGAAAGCTTCAGACTTTAAAAATGAATAACATGCATTTTAAAATTATTTTTAAAACATTCAAGACTGGAAAGGACTAAGCCAAAAAGGGAATATCAGGCACCACTGAATAGTGAAATGAGACACAATTTTCTTGGTGTTTTCCTGCATTTTCAGGAATTTTCGAAGTTGATTATTTTGCCACTGGGAAAACAAAAGTTATCACATAAAGATGCCCCTGACTGACTCATCACAGACACCCCCAGGGCCTGCTGGGAGCCAGGCGGCTTGGCTTTCTGACATCATTTGACCTGGAGGGAGGACACCTGCAGGGCCCAGGCACCATGAGAGGCACTTCTATGTATTATCTCAATCCCTGCGACTCTGAGAGACAGAGATTACAAGGGAACTAAGGCACAGAAGGTAAGTGACATGGCTAATGTCACACAGCTATGAAATGGCAGGGCCCTGGAGGATCACACCCAGGCCGGCAAGACTCCAAGGTCACACTCCACACCGGGTCCACATCTGGGGCGTTGGATGGAAAAATGAACACAGAGCACATGGGCCAGGCCGGTGCCTGGGTCACTTTGATGTGCAGGGTCACGCGTGTTTCCAGGGTTCTGGCTGGCTCTCATCTGAGGCTTCCTCACTGGGAGGAGATTCCTGAGTATAACCGTTTCTAGCCACCATGGCTGTGCGTGCTGTGTTCAGTTCCTCAGTGGCTCCAGCTTCAGGTAAAGACTTTTAAACTTCCGCCCTGGGCTTTGACACCAGGACAGTCAGTGTCCACAGGGAGTGTGGCACGCTCCAGCTGGCACCAGGGTACCAGGGTTCTGGCTCCAGCTCTACATGCAGAGGACCTGTGCTGGGCCTTTCTCCATCTGCAAAATGGGCAGAACCACACCCTGCAGCAGTGACTAGGACGGAAGCCGAATTCTCTCCGCCCTGGCTACAGGTTTCACAGGCCAATGGCTCACCACTGCTCTGTGACGCCCAGGTTACAGCCAGCCAGCCAGCCCAGGACACTGAAGGCCCTGCTACCAGGGGCCAAAAGTCAGGGCAGCTTCTGTGACTGTCCACTGCAGCTCAACAGGCCATACCTCTACCTTCTTGTCTGCCATGACAGTCTGGGGATCCAGCTGTGAGCCCCCTAGGCCTCTCCCCCTTCTTCCTTCCGTTCTCCCAATGAGGGGGGCGATTGTCTGTTCACATGGTAACCCATCAGCTGTCCTGTCATGCGGCAGCTACCAGCACTATTGCCCTCAAATGGAACAGAGCGCAGAGTCCCTTGTTCTGGGTTCAAGGCCTGCCCATGCTGCTGGTGGTGGTGGCTTGAAATAGATTTTTTAAAAACAAAAACAAAACACCTCCCTGAGCCTCATTTTTGTCCACTGCAAATGGGAGATGAGAACGCCCACCAGGTGCTGGGAACCCGTGCCCATCCTCCACAATGCAGGGCACAGAGCAGGTACGCAGCGCTGAGAGGAGACTGAGGGCTGGTCTCGGGGACAAGTCACATGATAGCCCCTGTGCCTCAGTTTCTCCATCAATGAAATCTCTGCTGTGTGGCAGTGTCAAATTCGAGTCCTGGTACAGGGATCCTTGGGACCAGGCACCCGGTAGGGGCCGAAGAAACAACTATCGTCTGGCCTGGCCCAGTACAACTAGAGCAAGGAACCTGGGGCCTGAAAGAGACAGCTTCCAGGACAAGGTGAGGCCAGTGAGCACTTGTGGCTCTGTCCACACAGGCCACAGCAGGCCAGGGGAGGAAGGTACCCCACCCAGATGCCCCACTCTCACCCAGCATGTTGGACGACTCGATCATGTTGGTGTCCAGGTCAGTCCAGTAGAGGCGCTGGTCAGTGTAGTCAATAGTAAGGTCATTGGCCCGGCCCACTTTGTCCACCAGCGTCATACAGTTGGTTCCGTCCATGAAGGCCCGCACAATCCTTGGCTTGCCACCCCACTCGGTCCAGTAGATGTAACTGAAAGGCACCAGGCAGGGGAGGGGCAGGTCCAGTGAGTCCTTGCCCAGTGCAGGGCAGACAGGGAGGGCGAGACCACCAACATCTCCTCTGCTCAGCCTGTGCCTTCTTAGACAAAGGCAGACACTGACATGCCCCCAAGAAGCAGGAAGGGACCAGGTCCAGGCTGAGCCCTGCTGCAGCCCTAACCTCTCCTAAGCTTGCTGCTGTGATCCTGGCCTGCTTCCCACAGTGGCTTAGCTGTCAGGCAGGCAAACACCCCAGGGCAGCCTCAAGCAGGCATACAGCACAAATAACAGATCACTCAACCTGGGGACCAGAGCTAAGCTGACCAGGATGTCATAAGGGCAAACTGGAATGGACCCCCCCCCCTTTCCTCAGAGCGTAGAAAGCTGGACCCCAAAGCAAATGAGGTGTGGCAGGGACCCTGAGCTGCCTTCCCCCACCACCCACCATCCCCTGAGCACTCCTTCTTCTCCTCCAGCACCCCACCCTCGTTCCAGCACTCTGGACTTGCCCTTCTGTCAAACTCGGACTTTTCACTTTATTATGCCCTCTTGAAATCTTCCCTCTCTCCCTAACACAGCATGTGCCAGGCAGGGTTCAGGTGTCTCTACACTCATCACAGATGCCTACAGGGTGGGCACTGTGCTCCTGCACAGAAGACACTCAGGTTCAGAGAGACTGCTTCCTGGCTGTCCAGCCCTGGTGCCCAGGGCAGGGCCTCTTGAGGTGGCTCTCGGGGCAGCTTGTAGGCTCAGCAGCCTGTAAGATGCTATTTCTGAACAGCCTGAAATCCATGGATCGCAAGACCGACTGCTTGGCCCTATGTTAAGGAAAGGCCCTGGACAGGGCCTGAGGGGGCATTTTTGGGTCCAATACTGTTCTAACTGACCATGGGACTTTGGATGAGTCACTTAGCTTCTCTGAGCATCAGTTTCTGTCTGATCCATCAACGCTGGAGACAGCCCAGATGAAAAGTCCAGTTCAGTGCCTGACAGCAGCTTCCATCCTCACCTTCTACTCTGACCTCAGTTTCCCCTCTGGGAATGAACTAGATGATCTCCAAGGGTCCACCTTCAAGGTTAAGTGCGAGCAGTGCAGCCCTAACCAGAGGGCCAGGTGGGCACCACCAATGTGGCCAGTTTGCATCACTGCACTGGCTGAAGCAGACAGGTGGGAGGGGCGGGGTGCACACAACGGACAGAAATGACCCCTACCCTTTGGTGGGATCCAGGGCCAGCGACCTCGGGTTGTCCAAGTCCCTCCATACAGGACCTGCCGGAACTGCCCATCCAGCCGGGCCACCTCAATCCTGTTGGTCCCAGTGTCAGCCCAGTACAGGTTCTTGCCCATCCAGTCAACGGCCATGCCTTCAGGGTAGTCAAGGCCAAACTCGATCACGTGTTCCACTGAGCTCCCATTCATGAAGGCTCGGCTGATGGTCTGCGACAGGCAAGGAGGGAAAGTGCTGCATTTAGGAACCAGCATCTTTTGTAGACATCTAACTGTGGGACAGATGCTTGGTCACCTCAAGCAACTACTGCCCACGTATGGGATCAGATCACCAAAGGTCAGAGTTTTAAAACAAACATATGTAATGGGGCAAAAAAAAAAAAAAAATTGTCGAAAGTTACTTGGAGACCAGGCATGGTGGCTTACATCTGTAATCCCAGCTATTCAGGAGGCAGAGATTAGGAAATTCAAGGCCAGCCCAGGACAAAAAAATTTAGCAAAACCCCATCTCAACAAAGAAGCCAGGTATGATAGAGCACACCAATAACCCTAGCTACATGGGAGCAATTAAATAGAAGGATATTAGTCTGAGGCCATCCCCGGACTAAAAGCAAGACCCTATATGAAAAAAAGTGGAACAGGCTAGCGGTGTGGCTCAAGTGGTAGAGCTCCTGCCTAGCAAGCATCAGGCCGAGTTCAATGCCCAGAACTGTCAACAACAACAACAAAAAATTAGGAGCACTAATATTTTATTAGCTTGAATAGTGTAACAATAAATAGTACAGTTTTTGAAAACTGTGTTCAGCCTCAGAGGCAGTCACCTTACAGGCAAGGTTCCCACAGAGAGGCTAGGCACGTGCAGGGTCACACACGGTACCTTCAGGCTGACGTCCGTCCAGTAGATGTGGTTGCTGGACACGTCGAAGTCCAGCGCGGAGGCCTCCTTGACACCTGTGAGTGGGATGGCCACATCGTTGTTGGTGGTGTCCAGGGAGACCCTATGGATGGCCGCTCTGCTGGTGAACACCAGGAAGGCCTCAGGGACAATGCAGGTCTTCATGTCACTCAGCAGCTCCAGGCCGATGGGGCAGCTGCACTTGGTGGCATGGGGCGTGAAGAAGCACAGGTGGCTGCACCCCCCGTTCCCATCTGCGCACGGGTTGGTTCCTGGAGGGAAACGCACAGCTCTAGACGCCAGAGGCAAAGGGAGGGGTGGCCGCTCGGCAGTCGTGCCTGGCTCTATCCTACTGCAGGTCATATGGGGATGGGGAGAAGCCAGCCCCGGACCATGGCAACCGAAGCTCTCCCCAGTACAGTACAGTACAGTAACAATGACAGTGTGACCATAGGGGCCTGCCGTGTGCCAGGCACTGGTCCCGAGATGTCCCCCGTTTTACCTCTCTCCACCGCCCAGGGCCATAGGAGCTAGTCTCACCCCCATTTGTCTACGGAGGAAGCTAAGGCCCAGGAGGCTTTGGAGGTAATCTGGCCAGCAACAAGTTAGGGCCCAGCTCACGACACCACCAGGCGGCCCAGCCTCCCGCCTGAGTTCCATCTGGCCCAGCCAGGATCCACGAGCCAGTGACTGGCCCAGTTGCCCTTCCTGGGACTTCAGCAACCAGCCTGCTGACGGGACTGGCTCCTGCAATTCTTCCAGAACGTTCGCTGATACCCTCAGCAACCTCAAAACTCAGAGTTGCCCAGGACGGTCAGAGGCACCTGTCTTTATTAGAGCAGAGAGAACTTAGCCTGTTCATTTATTTCGGCCAGCCTGTTTTCTCACTTGGCGGCTTTTGTGCTGTTAAAATTGGTTTTAACTTAGTGTTAAGTATGTAAGCTAAAAGAAGAGCAGTTTTCCCCATATTCTTTAGTAAATCATAACGTGGGGAGGGCAGTTTCTCAACTTTAAATCACAGTCCCCTACAGAACATTCATTTTTCCTTGTCTTTTCCTTTTTTTGGTGCTCCTAGAGTTTGAACTCATGGCCTTGCACTTGAGCCCCACCCCTGGCCCTTTTCCAAACACGGTGTCTGCAAGGCTGGCCTGGACTTTCATCCTCCAGCTAGGATGGCAAGTGCCTGCCACCACACCAGGCTTATCGATTGAGTTAGGCCTGGACTGGCCTTTAACTTGAAGCCTCCCGGTCTCCACTGTCTGTTTAACAAACACAGATAATGAGAATGTTTACTTAGTTTTGTTTTATTGAATGAAACCCAGGCTGGCCTTGAACTCCTGCCTCAGCCTTCCAGTACTGGGATTACAGGTGTGTACCACTGCACCTGGCATAACTGTGTTTTTAAAGGTGATTGGTAAAGATAAACCTGTCCCTCCTATGCCTTTGCCCCAAGAGTGCAGATTGCCATAACAGTTGTCCACAGTGACAGGAGGCACAGGCTGTCCCTCAGGTCACCCATGCCACCTCACCTCCAGGGCTTTGTTCAGCTATCTCTTGTGCCAACCACACCTCTGCCTACTCCAAGCTCCATCACTTCCCTGGAATTTTAAGGCCAAACTCCCCCTACCATCACAGCTACAGCCATCCACCTGGAGGCAGAGCTAACCTGGGGCCTCTCGCCAGCCAAACTGTAAGGAACTCAACTGTAAGCACTGGTTCTCTCTATTCTTTCACTCATCCACCAGGCATGAGACTGAGCCCCTGCTCCCAGAGTCCACCCCCACCCACACATGCACACCCCAAGACTGCTCTCTGCAGTGTCACCTGCAGACCTGCACTTGGAATTCTTTTCAGAATGAGCTCCTAAATGAGCTCTTCACTGGCCCTGGCTTTCAGGTAAAAGGTATGGGTTTGAGAGTTCCAGCCTGAAGACAGTGGACAACGGTCACAAACCAGCCAGACAACAAGGGCAAGGTTGAGCTGGTGAGTCCTGAGCTTGGCCACCCATTAGCTGTGTGGCCTTGCCTCCTTGCCTCCCTCTCTCCAGTGCCCGTGGGGCTGTAGCTGTGATCAGCAAACAGGTTGCCTTAGCCAGGGCCTGGCACACAGTCAGCGCTCAGCGAGGTTAGCCCTAATGATTACCAACACTGGGCAGTATGCCACCCCATTCCCATCTGTCCCAAACCAGATACTGCCACCCTATCCTACCCTGCCCATCTCCAGAGTGGGAGCCCCAGTGGACACCTGTATCTCACCTGCCACTTCTTCCCCAGGTCAACAGGCCCAGATGAGCCAGGGCTCAGGGCTTTCCCCAACTCACCAAAGACCTTGGCCACGTTCACAGCTTTGAGCCCCATCAGGTCGGGAAGCTGGTCGATGATGACATCCCGGCTGGCCTTGACCTTGTGCACCCGCTCAATGCTGCGCCGCTGCCAGTCCGTCCAGTAGATGAAGTCCCCCAGCAACGTGAACCCAAAAATGTGTGGGAGCTTGTCCTCCAGCAGGGTCCGCCTCTTAGTCCCGTCCACATTGATCACCTGCAGAATGGCAGAGGCAAACACGGGTCTGGACTGGCTGGGGTCACGCCAAAGAGCACCAGTTTTCAGCCTGCCAGGGCCTGAGCTGCCCAATGAGACAGGTGCAGCTCCCAGGAGCCTCTGCTGCACCTGCGCCTTGCCAGATACTAAAAGATGTGAATGGTTCCTGGAGAGCCAGTTTCATCATGGCACCCCATCCTTGGCTGACATAGCAGAGGCAGGGCCTAGCTCAGAGGCTCTCCTTGCAGCCTCTTCTGCCTGAGAGTGGAATTGTGGATGGGCAAAGCAAACAGGCGTTCTTGCCCTCACTGTTGCTGACCCACAGGCACCGAGGGTGGCCTCTGGCCAAGGAGGGCACCCTAGGAAGGAGTCCTGGGATAAAGAAACAATGCTGCCACTGGTGCGGCAGTGGATCCACAGTCACGTCCAACACACAGAGTTTAGAAGGGCTGGGCAGAACTGCAGACCTGGGCAAGCTCGTTCTGCTTGCCTGCGAGCTAATCTCTCATTCACTCATGACCAGATGAACTCTGGGGCGCATCCTGGTTCTAAGTCTGAGCCTGCAGGCCTGTTCACTCTGACATGGAAAAGTTAAATCTTTTTTCTGTAAGAGCCAATACTGATGAAAAGTGACCACCACAAAAGCCACAGAGGACACGATCAAAATGCTTTTGCACTCAGGAGCCTAGAAACACACAGGACAAGACAGGGCTGTGACATCCCACAACCCTCACGGAGGCACCATCCAAGTCTCAGCTCAGCTCTCGGACAGGATGAGACAGGGGAGGCAGCAGATGGAAGGCAAGCCTCAGCAGGCCTCCTGAGCTGGGTTCAGCTTCCAGCATGGCAGGAAAGTTACAAATGCTGTTCTGCAGGCAAGAAAAATACAAGGCCAGCCAAATGGGCTGAGTAAAAAATTCTGGTTTTCTGTAGTTGGATAGCAAGGAACAAAACTGTTTAATCACCTTGGAAGAGTGGCGGTCCTGGCACCTGTGGTCAGGGGCCCCATCTGGTTCTGCCCCGTGGTGCTCAGGGTCTTTGGGCAACTCCTTGCAGCCAGTGGGCCTCAGTTTCTCACCTGTAACAGGGAAACTAGCCAGTAGCTAAGTCACCCAAGCAATGTAATGAAACACAGGGCGATGGTTGGACACCAACCTGGAGCCAGAAAACTGAATGAGAGGCTCATTAAAGCCACTCCCAGGGGCTGTCAGAGCAATCCACGTGCAAAATGTGGCCACACCTGGAGGCCAGAGCTCAGGTTGCACCAATCCCGGGGCTGAGCTCTCCACAGGTTAGCAGCTCAGGCAAGCAGTAGAGGGCAAAGATGGACAGCCTCTGTCCACATGGTCCAAGGTTCTTGTTTATATCTTGTCCACACAACAAGGTACAAAAAAGCAATGCAGACACCAACAGCTCTGGGAACACCTGGAAGGCCGGCCCATCGCCCAGCACAAAACCACACCAGGCAGAAGATCACCCTGGGTGTACAGCCTAGAAGTTCAGGTGGGAGGAGAACACAGCAGTGAGAGGCAGGGTCCAGAGCAGCCTGGGGAGCCCTGCCCTTCCCCAACCCAGGACAACCATGGTGAGGGAGGGACTATATATGCCACACCTGACTGAACACTGGGAGGAAAATAACGCACACCTAGAAAAAGTCAGGCCTCAAGGTTTGAACCTACCAAAAGGTCAGGACAGTAGACCCTTGCCACCTGCGGGTCTGTGGTTCCAAGGGGACCACCACGGAGGGAAAACCACACGTGTTCAGAATGCATAGAGTACAGGACTGTACTGCAGACTCTTGACTCCTCTCCCATAGCGCTGCCCAACTTCCACCGAAGACATGCCACCTTTCAACGCACCTAAAATTTACACTTCAAATTAAGCACACAGTGTGCCTTTCTGGCTTAGCAGGATCATCATAACTTTTGGGGTACCATTTGCTTTCTGGAAGGCAGATCATCACAAAATGAAGGGCAGGGAAACACTCAACAGCTCACATGATTTCAACACAACAAATGGTGACACGGGGACTGACGGAGAGCTTTGTGTCAGCTGAGCTGTAGGAAGCATGTACGGGAATTTAAAAGTTTTGGTTTTGAAACTTCCGATTTTAAAAATTTATTTATTTTTGACAGTGCTTAATCACACCATGTACGATAAATCCACAAATAAGGCAGGCTTACTGCATCATCTCTTTGAAACTTGTTTCTTCTTTCTCTATGTCCATATTGCATTCTCTCTAACATCAAACTAGATTTCTATACACATTAAATTGTGTGGTGGGGCGGGGGGGGCACTTTTTCCTGGCTGCATCTGAGAACAATGAACAGGAGCCACCCAGAACCTGGGGAGAGGGAGGCGGCAGGTGCAGGCTGGTACCACTTCTGCTCTCTCCTCCTTTGTCCCCACTCCCTCCTTAGTTGCCCCAAAACAAAGCAGGAGGTCAAGCCCTCCTGGCCAGGTCAGGCCAGGCCAGGCCATGCCTGCAGCAAGAGCAGGATGGGTTTCTGGGCAGGCGCAGCAGCAGAGCCCCTCAGGACACCTTCACCCCATGTGGATGAGACCCCTCTCTGCCTGGAAGCACCTGAGGAGTGAAATGAGCAGGGCGCTGCTGACACAGGGAACAGAAACGATTCTATGGTGCCCTTGATATCAGTTTGCAATCCCTCCCCACCAGCTGCAACACATCTGTGAAAACAGCTCTGTTGGATCAGGGATTTCCCAGACCCTGGGGCACAAAGAGTGGCGTGGGCTGGGGGTCCTTCAGGTTCCCTGTGGGCCTAAGTCAGCTGCATCCACCTTCCCTGGGATAGACTTCTCCCCCAAGTCAAGTAAAGCCTCACTCTCACATGTAAGGAGACAAGACATGGAGGACAAATTCTTCTGAGACCTGGGAGGGTAAGGAGTCAAAACAGACAGAAATACCAGGATCCAATCCTGATCAGCCATGAATGCAGGAGAGGGAGAGAATGTGGGTGACAGCTTTTCTGGGATGGGTCAGCCAGCCTCTTCTGTAAAGGACAGAAAATATGTCTGGTTTTGAGGCCTAATGGCCCCCGGCACCCAAAGCAACCAGGAAGAAAACACAGATGAGCCAGCATGGATGTGTTCCAATAAAACTTTGTTGATAAAAAAAACAAAACTTATTTATGGACACTGAGAGTTTAATTCCTCATCACTTTCACAGGTCGTGAATTAACTGCTGATATTCTTTTCTTAGTCCTTAAAAAATGCCCAAAACATTCTGAGCTTAAGCATGGTTTAAAAAGAGGTAACAGGCAGGCGTGGCCCATGTGTCATTCTTGCCAACCCTGCCCCAGAAACCCCGGTGCCCTGGTGTTTCAGGACAGGAAACCTGATCTAAGAGGTCATGTCTGGAGACAAGGAAAGTATCCAGCAGGTGCAGCTGGCTCTCTCAGCTGTCTGATCCCACCTCTTCCCATGCCGCAGAGCAGTACCTCCCCAGGTACTTGCAGAGCTGAGCTGCGAGGTGGGAGGTAAGGGTGGGGAGCCCTGAAAACAGAAAGTCACCAGACAGGCCCCCCTCTTTCTGCTGGCCTGGCCAGGTGCAGAGCTTTAAGACCTGTCCCCTGCCCACACATTTCTAGAGTAAGAATTCTGTTTGCTGAGGCAATGATGGTCACTCACTGTCCAGCACAAATCCCAAGCTAAGACTGCTATGGTGGGCCAGGCACGGTGGCTCACACCTACAATCCCAGCTTCTCAGAAGGCAGAGACTGGGAGAACTGTAGTTCAAGGCCAGCCTGGGCAAAGAGTTAGTGAGAACCCGTGTTAGCCAGTAAGCCGGGTATGGTGGCACACGCCTGTTATCCCAGCTACACAGGAGGTTTAGGTAGGCGGATTGCTGTCTGAGGCAAAACATGAGATAAAATAACTAAAGCAAAAGAAAAGGCTGGTAGAGCGGCTCAAGCCTAGCAAGCATGAGGCCCGGAGTTCAAATCCCGACACCATCAAAAAAAAATCTGAAACAAACAAAAACCCGCTGTGGTGATTTTGTTTCACATAATGAGAAAGACCTTCACCTCACTTCACAGCCTGAAGGCCCAGGGCTCCAACTTCATCCCAGGGCTTGTGGACAGATGCACAGTCCACGGGCCTCTATAACTTGTCACTCCTGCTGTGCCCTGTGACACCTCTACCTACTTAGTAAATGTCGGGGCCAGGGACCGATGCCTGGTGAGGGGCAGGTGGAGCCACCTAGAAAGCATGGGTGAGACAGCATCACTTCTGACATGGGTGTGTCCTGTGCACCTGCCAGAGGTCAGCACAGAGACCCCAGCTCAAGCTGGGCCTCAGACAGGCAAAATAATGGGCGATGGTGACGATGACTCTGGTCAAGAAAGAGCACACGTGGTGGATGGGTATAGACAGGCTTCAGCCTCCACCGCCAGGCAGAAACCAGGATGCCGCCATTTCAGAAGGAAGACCCTAAGTGGCCCCAGGGGTGGACAGTGTATATATAGTCCATGTACATGACACAATGGCCTATGGCTGAAGGTCGCCCAGGACATGTGGGTCTAAGGCTTGGGACAGCACCCTGGATGAAAGGAATTGCCTGGGAGAGGTCCACAGACCTAGCAGTTGATAAGAAGCACTGCCAGAGGGAGAGAAGAGCAGGCCCAGGTGTCATCAAGGGGTTCCTTAGGGTGTTAACAGACCCTAGTCATTGTTACAAACCAAGCTGCAACTGGTGTCACATTGCAACAGGTCAGATAAGCTTGAGGCCAGGCCTGGGAGGTGCAGTGGGTAGGGAGGTGAGTGCGAGGTGCACACTGGAGCATCCCTGGAGAGCTGGACATGGCTAAAGACATCTGAAGGGCTGGAACTTCAAATCTAAGGGCTCCAGTCTTCGAAGAAGGTTAAGAAGCGGGTCTAGGGCAAAGATAGCATGGCGCTAGAATTCCTAGCCCACAAGGATGGGAAAACAAGACAACAGGGGTACTGTAGGAAAGCACAGCTAGAGATGGTCAGTGCCCCAG